ATTTGGGAGAAACCATCGCATTGTCGCAAGCTCACATGGTGGGGAACTGAAGTCTTATGCCAAAAGTCATGTTGAGTGAACTTGGAAGTGGTAGAGTACTGGACTCTAATAGTCTAGAGTCCTAGTGGACAGCTCAACTACAGTCTGTTGAGACTGAGCCAAAACTACCCGGCTTACCTGCTCTGAGATTCTTGGCCTCTAAAACCGTGTGAGATAGTAAATGTTTGCTGCTTTAAGTAACTAAGCTTTAGGGCAGTTTGCTCTATGACAATGTCTAGCTACTAATACAGGGTCTGTTGTTTCCCTTTGACGAAGTTCAAGAGTCAAGCTTATTTATGTTTGGTAAACAGTATTAAAGTTTACATCTTTGTATCCAATCGTTCATACTTTTTATAGAGGTATAAAACAATACACATTGCCCCTCAGTGTTATGGTAGTTTTTGTTGAAATAGCATTCTCCCTTTTTACTCATATGGATAACTTTCTGTTTTCTGTAGGGCCTGGACAGTAGTTTAGAAGTGGGTCTAGAAGAATTACATATGAAACTTACCTCATATTTGCACATCCTCATTAAAGCTTTGGGCTGTTTTACTGTGTCAAACTTCTGTCCCTGTTTTATTTTTCTTTGGTAATGAATTCTTTCTTAGGATACTTTGGTGCAAATAGACATGCAGTAGGCCCTGTCAGAGAAACTCAAAAACATAAACCTTGCACATTGGAACTGATTGTGATGTTATTATAGATAAGCAATATCTTGTTCTCTATTTTTGGAAACAATTTTAGCAAAATACTTTAGGGAATGATTCACCCAAATTTTACAGATTATCAGATGATAGACTTTATTCTGTAGTGTAGTTGGATTTTTTAAGATTCAGTATTTCAGAATTGAACTGAAAAATTAGGTGACACTTAAAGAAAACACACTTCTTTATCCATTAACATTAAAGAAATAAAACTTGTATAGAACACTTAAGTAGCAAATTTATGGCCGACTAGATACAATATGTTTCTTTGTTTTAACCTCCCAACTATGATATGATTTTCCTAATGTTTACTCTTTTGATTATTTACTGAGAGCCAAAGGAGGCCATATGTAAATAAATACAGTGTATTTTATTTGATTTAATTGCTTTAGCTCTTCACCTAGAAGATGACATTTTCTTTTAAATTTACTTTTCCTTTCAAAGGGAATTTTCATCAATAAATTCTGAAATTTAAATTTTTGACGTTAAATGAAATTCTTACTACCATCCTTGTAAGGAAAAAGTAACAGTAAAGGTGTTCTTATTAATTTATATATTGTCCTTATTTTGAGGATCACTTCATTTATATTTGGCTTAGTTTCTTCTCACACTTGTTGATTTCTTCTACACTTCCTTCCAAAGATTATACTATTTTATCTTTCGATCTGTGATGCCATCTTAGGATATTAAGTAGATTTTAATATTATCTCATTATATTTGTTGTGTTAGTTTTTTAGGGCTACCATAAGAAAACATACCCCAAACAGGCTGGCTTAAGACAACAGAATTTTTTTCTCTCATAGTACTGGAGACCAGAAGCCCAAAATTAGATTGTTGGCAGGGCCACACTCTCTGTGAAAGCTCTGGGGAAAAATTATTTCTTGTCTCCTTCCTAATTTCTGGTTATTGACAGTCATTCTTATCATTTCTTGGCTTGTAGCTGTGTCACTCCAGTCTCGGCTCACGTCACACATGGCCTTCTTCTCACTGTGCCTTTGTCTCTAAATCTGTCTCTCCTTATAAAGACACCAGTCAATGGATTTAGGACCCATCCTAAACTAGTCTGACCTAATTTTAACTTTATTACATCTGTAAATACCCTATTTCCAAATAAGGTGATAATCACAAGTACCTGGGGTTAGGACTTAGACATGTCTTTTTGGGGAACACAACACCTGTTTTGTTTAATAACCACTCTGAAATTATTATAATCTCTATACAACTTTTCCATGCTGCGTTCATTCAGTGTATCTTTACAGTATTTTTAGTCTTAGTTACGCTTGTAGCTCAGACAGTTACATTGAATTCTAATATCTTATATATTAAAAATTATAATCATGGTGGTTAATGTTGTGACTTATTTAAATAATATTAATGATTACTGCATTGAGAAAATTACCATGAAATTAGAAAAGACCTGCCACACTTCCAGCTTAACTATCATTCTCTCAGTACTGTTTTTTTCTCACTTACATTTAATTTAACATAAAACGCTGATACATACTGCTTGTTTTTAAAGGTTTTTAGTGATTGTAAGTGGGGTTAGGCACACAGTAAGTGCTCCATACTTACCTATTGTGAATTACCTTTGGGCCTAGGCTGTTAGACTATAATCCAGTCAAAATCCACTTAATAATCTGATCTTTTAGTGCTATGTTTGGCATATTGACTTTTAATTCCAGGTAACCATCTCATCTTAGAATTGTATGTCATGATTGACCAAATGATTGTGTTTTGATTGAAATAGCATATCATTCTTATTGGAGAATAACGTGGAACAAATCAAATATTGCTATTTAAAAATCTTATTCCATCTCTACATTAAAAAAAAAAAATTAGCCAGGTGTGGTGGTGTGCACCTGTAGTCCCAATTATTTGGGAGGCTTAGATGGGAGGATCTCACTTGAATCCAGGAGTGCAAGGCTGCAGTGAGCTATGATCATTCCAGTGCACTCCAGGCTGGGTGGCAGAGTGAGACCTTGTCTCAGAAACTGCTACTACTAATAATAATGATTCTTATTTTAATAATGAGCATCTTAGTTTACTGTGGGAAAGCTAATTTATCAGATTGTAAATTAGCAACATTTTTTGATAATGATTAATTTCTACTTGGAGATTTCACATATTGAAATAAATTCTTATGTAATCCCATTTCATGGAAGTGGTATTTATTGGAATCAGTTTTACTTATTTTATTCACTTCCGTCTACAGGTTACTGTATCAGTATTTCTAAAAATATTCTAAGATTTTTTCTATACTTCCATTCCCAATACTGGTTTCCAACTCCAAATGCGTGTTAGAATCACCTGGAGAGCTTTTTAAAAAAACACCAGTACTTGTACCCTATCTGGGTATTGTCCTGGATGGGACTTTGGGGCAGATTGAAATACGGATAGGAAGATTTTGTCGTTGTTAATGTTCATTTATTTATTCTAATGTGCATCCAGGATGGCAACTTATATATTGAAAATCTATTTTATGGGTGTATCCTGTTGTCTGCTAAGACATTTTTATTGTTGAAAAATGATATGATAGTTGCTCTGGTACCTTTGTAAAATGGCAACTCATTTTCTGCTTCTGCTTTCAAATCATGCCTATTTTGTTTAGTCTGCTTTGCTCTCCCTAATCATTACAAATTTTAATATATTTCACTGGATTAGACTACATATCAAATACAAAACCAAAATTTTGAAGTTTAGCTAAATAATTCTAGAATATATTACTTTAGACATATTTAAGCTATATCACTGAATTACTACATAAAAATTTAAAAATCACGAAATTCTTAATTGAAAGAGAAAATAAGAACAGTTTCCAAGTGCTTTAAAGATGTTTGTGTACGTTTTCATATTTATGGTGTATATCAGTATACACTTATACATACATTTAAAGAAAATTGGCTGGGCCCAGTGGCTCACATCTGTAATCCCAACATTTTGGGAGGCTGAGGTGGGCAGATTGCTTGAGCCCAGGAATTTGATACCAATCTCAGCAACGTGACGAAACCCTTTGTTTACAAAAAAAAAAAAAAAACCAGAAAAAAGCCAGGCATGGTTGCACACACCTAGCTACCTGGGAGGCTGAGTGGGAAGAATCACCTGAGCCTAGGAGGTAGAGGAAGTGAGGCATGAATGTGCCACTGCATTCCAGCCTGGATGACAGAGTGAGGAGACCCTGTATCAGGGAAAAAAAAATGGAAAGAAAGAAATAAAAATAATACTAATGTATTTATATAACTATATATATAGTTATATATATATATATAAGAAAAACAAATATACCACCTAGCTCCAGATTACTTTTTTTGTTCCTGTCTTTTATGTCTTAGTTGTGGGTCTATGTTACCACTCCGTATAAATTTATTATTTATCTATATTGATTTTTCTTTTTTTTTAGTTTCTTTCTTTCTTTCTTTCTTTTTTTTTTTTTTTTTGGTGGCATGATCTCAGCTCACTGCAACCTCTGCCTCCTGGGCTCAAGTGATTATTCCACCTCAGCTTCCCAAGTAGCCGGGACTACAGACCTGCACCACCATGCCCAGCTAACTTTTGTATTTTTAGTAGAGACGGGGTTTCACCATGTTGCCCAGGCTGGTCTCTTAACTCCTGCCTCAGCCTCCCAAAGTGCTGTGATTACAGTCATGAGCCACCGTGCCCAAACTTTTTTTCTATATTGATTTTTGACATTGAAACTAAGCTCTCTTAGTTTTAATGTTATTGTATTATTCAGTCATTCAGTGATATGGTTTGGCTGTGTCCCCACCCAGATCTCACCTTGAATTATAATAATCCCCATGTGTCAAGGATGGGGCCATATGGAGATAACTGAATCATAGCAGGCAGTTTCCCCCATACTGTTCTTGTGATAATGAATAAATCTCATGAGATCTGATGATTTTATAAATGGGAGTTCCCCTGCACACGTTCTCTTGCCTGCTGCCATGTAAGACATGACTTTGCTCCTCATTTGCCTTCTGCCGTTGTTGTGAGTCCTCCTCAGCCATGTGGAATTGTGAGTCAATGAAACCTTTTTTTTTTTTTTTTTAAATAAATTACTCAGTATCAGGTATCTTTTTATTAGCAATGTGAGAACAAACAAATACATTCATCTTTAACACTTTTAGTCCTAGTAAACTGAATGTTTTAGATTGGCATACAAAGATTTCTGGAGCAATAAGCAAACTTTCCCAAGTTATCAAAGCATTTACTAATGTATTATTTGTTTCTGTTTTTGTTTTTATTGTCCTTTGCCCTTAGTGAAGCTGTGGTCTACCAATCTAGACAACTCAGTGGCAAGCATTGAGGCAAAGGCTAATGTGTGCTGTGTTAAATTCAGCCCCTCTTCCAGATACCATTTGGCTTTCGGCTGTGCAGGTAAGAAATGAAAGCAGATTTGTCTTCCTTTGATGTTGGTTGAATATCATGGTAAGGATACGAGAGCATTTTAAAACAAATAATTCTTTTGTAGGTTTAAATATTGTTTTCATTATTAGACTGTAAATTAAAAGTATATGCAGTATGCCATCATTATTCATTTAGTGCTGTACCTTAATTGCACTATTCTGTCACCTGTCTTTAATACATAGATATGAATTTGTTAATTTTTATAATCGTTCTTAGTGTTTATATGCATGAGTTAATGCTTATTACTTATTCACAAACTTAAAGTCGTAATAACATTTAAACAAGCTACTGTTAAGCTATATTGTACAGACACAGGAACACTTTTTTTTTAAGGCAAACTGTTCTTCCAACAATTATTTATTGAGTCCCTGCTATGCACAGAGCACTCATCTAGGGACAGTGAATAAGCATAGTCTTGTATCATGGAGTTCATGCTAACATAGGAAGTATTCAAAAAAGTTTGCTATTATTATCATTACCAAATAATCATTGGGTAAATTATTTTTCTTAACTAGGGTGACCATATGTCTGTATTTGCCTGGGTCAGTTCTAGTTCACACTGTTTGTACCATTGTATTTACTATTAGTACCCTCTTTCATTCACAAAAGTGTCATGAGTTGGACGATAAATCAAATGGTCACCCTACCCTTAAAATTTTTATCTTTGATATTTTTCCCTCTTGAATATTTACTAAAATAGTAAATACTTGTAATTTGGCTTCTGAATGGTGAGTCTTATTTTTTATTAATAATATCAGGATTTTACAAAATACAAGCTAGCACCATATGATGGAGACAATAGCAACTTTTAAAAAGGAAATGCATAATTTAAACCATGTCACTATACTTTTTGCTTTTATTCAACTCACTATGTCACTGGGCTACTGACATAATTTCATAGTTCAGTTTAAGGAGGACATGGACTAACATGTAGATGTGGGCAAAATTCTCTTTTTTTTAGCATATAGAATTTATTTTTAATGATTACATGCTGTTTTCATTTGAACCTACTTCTGTCTTATTTAAATACTTTGTCACTGATTAGAAATATGACCTTGAGCAAATTCTTTAACTTTCTCCCAAGTTTTTTATCTTTAACATAGAGGTAGAGCTGTTCGGGGCTCTTCTGAGGATTATGGAAAAAAGATTCTTTGTGTAAAGTTCTTATAGTTGTTATTTTTATTATTAATATTATGTATTCAATTAAAATATATAGTCTTAGTTTATTGAGTTTGAGTGTGTGTAGACGCTTACTGGCCATCATTTATGGGTATAATATTTTTTCAGTATTTAGTTAATTTGTACCAATGCCAGATATGAATATTATCAAATTTTCTCCTTCCTAGAAAATAGGAACCTACTTTAAAAATGCTTCCATTATCTGCTAGGCAGTTTTCCCCACTATTCTACATTTTCATACATTTCTTAGTTACTTTTCTCATTTACTTTTCCATGCAAGCTTTAAGATTTATAGTTTTCCAATTCTATAAAAATTCTTTTGGGATTCTTACCAGACTTTCTTGTGTTTATTTGCTGATTTTAGAAGCATTGGCCTTATTATGATAGTATGTCTTTCCACAGTTACGTGGGGTGTCTTTTTATTTGTTTGGGTTTGGTTTTCTTTTTTTTTTTTTTTTTTTTTTTTTTTTTTTTGAGACAGGGTCACCCAGATTGAGTACAGTGGCATGATCACAGCACACTGCAGCCTGGTCCTTCCTGGCTCAAGTGATCCTCCAACCTCAGCCTCACCAGCAGCTGGGACTACAGGCATGCACCACCATGCCTGGCTAATTTTTGTATTTTCCATAGAGATGGGGTTTTGCCATGTTGCTCAGGCTGTTCTCAAACTCCTGGGCTCAAGCAGTTTGCCTGCCTCAGCTTCCCAAAGTACTAGGATCACTGTGCCCTGGCTATTGTTTGGGTGGTTTTCTGTCTTTCAATGAGATTTTATAATTTACTTACTTTAGGTTCTGGACTTTTCTGGTCAATTTTTTTTCCTATATATGTTACCATTTTTGTTATTTTTAATAAAATTTTATTTTCCACTCCCTTTTTTTAGGTATTTTTTGCTAAGCATAGACAAAACTTATTCATATTTGGATATTTGTCTTGTGTCTTGGGACCTTATAAATTTTTCTCATTAAGTCTAGTAGCTTTTTAGTAGTGTTTGGATTATCTATTTATACTTGATATCTGCCTGTTGCATTTCTTCTTTTCCAATGATTTATCACATTCTCTACCTCTAAGGTAGAGTTATGCTAGTGATATCCTCCCCCATCTATTTCATTTAGTTGAATGAGCTTTAATGTTCTGCTGTTTAGAATATCTACTTTTGAAAAATATTTTATTCAAATTGTTTTACTTTACTGTTTCTTAATTAGAAGCAAAACAGAATTTTATCAATTACCTTTTAGCACCAATTGATACTTATACTTTTTCTAAAACTGAGTTGTATTTTTCTTGAATGAACCTTGCTATGGCATAATGTAGAATTTTTGATAAACTACTATATTTAATTGGTAATTTTAAATCCATATGTTAAATTAGCCTATTATTCATTTTATCTTTTTTAACTGTCTTTGCCATTTTTAACATCAATAGTTTTGTAATTTTCAGTGTACACGTCTTGAACTTCTGTTGTTAAATTTATTCTTATTTTGTTACTTTTATTTCTGTCGTGAATGGAATTGCTTTTAAATTTTATTTTTTGATTGTTTTGTTAATAGTGTACAGAAATACAATTGATTTTTATATATCAATCTTGTATCTCTAACACTGCTTCTCTTTATTTGTTCTTGTTTTATTGTGGATTTCTTGGGGTTTTCTACATGTAGAATCGTATCTGCAGTTGAACAATTTATGAATGACATTTTGCTTTGTTGTATTAGCTAGAAGATCAAGTACAATGTTAAATAGAAGTGGTAAAAGCAACTTCTTATATGTGAAGAGTATTTATTTAGTCCTTCACAATTAAGTATGGTGTTGGCTGTGAGGTTTTTTGTAGATACCTTTTATCAGTTTGAGTAATTTTTTATCTGCTTGTAGTTTGCTACGAGTTTTTGTTGTGAATAGGCATTAGATTTTGTCAAGTGCTTTTTTTCTGCTTCTGTTAAGGTTGATTGTGAGGTTAATGTCCTATACTTAATACTATGGGACAGTAATATTATTATAATATTAAGCCAACCTTTCAAGTACTTTTGTGTCTGTGTTAGTAATGGATATTCATCCGTAGTTTTATACGTTCATTTGTAGACAGAATCTCGCTCTGTCAGAGCCCAGGCTGGAGTGTAGTGGCGCGATATTGGCTCACTGCAATCTCTGCCTCCCAGATTCAAGTGATTCTCGTGCCTCAGCCTCCTGAGAAGCTGGGACTTACGGGCACCAGCCACCACATCCGACTAATTTTTCGTATTTCTAGTAGAGACAGAGTTTTACCATCCTGGCCAGGCTGGTCTTGAACTCCTGACCTCAAGTGGTGTGCCTGCCTTGGCCTCCCAAAGTGCTAGGATTACAGACATGAGCTACCATGCCTGGCCTGTAGTTTTCTTATGATGATATTTTCTGTCTTTGTCAGAAAAGAGCTACTGGGTTTAAAGAATGAGTTGGAAAGTGTTCCTTCCTCTGCGTTCTGAATGAGTTTGTGAAGAATTGGCATTATTTTCTTTAAATATTTGATAGAATTCATTAGAGAAACTATCTGGGCTTGGATTATTCTTTTGGGGAAGATTTTAAATTCGTAATTCAATGCGTTTACTTTTTCTTCTTCTCTTTCTTTCTTTTCTTTGTTTTCTTTTTTTCTTTCTTTTTTTTCTTTCCTTCCTTCCTTCCTTCCTTCCTTCCTTCCTTCCTTCCTTTCTTTCTTTCTTTTCTTTTTCTCTCTCTCTCTCTCTTCCTTTCTTCCTTTCTTTCCTTTCTTTCTTTCTTTCTTGATGGAGTTTTCGCTGCTGTTGCCAAGGCTGGAGTCCTATGGCATGATCTCAGCTCGCTGCAACCTCCACCTCCTGGGTTCAAGCAATTCTCCTGCCTCAGCCTCCCAAGTAGCTGGGATTACAGGCATGTGCCACCATACCCAGCTAATGTTCTACTTTTAGTAGAGATGAAGTTTCACCATATTGGTCAGGCTGTCTCAAACTCCTGACCTCAGGTGATCCACCTGCCTCGGCCTCCCAAAGTGCTGGGATTACAGGCGTGAGCCACTGCACTCAGCCTGTTTACTTTTTCTAGGTGAATTCAGACTTTCTAAGTTTTCTAATTTATTGGCATAAAGTTGTTCATAACATTCCTTTATAATTCCTGTATTGTCAATAGTAATGTACCTAGTTTCATTCCACTATAATTATATATTTTCTCCTATTTCTTTTTGGTGGGTGTAGCTAAACATCTGTCAGTTTCTTCATCATGTAATAGTGTGTGTGAAAAGGCTGTTGTAGTTGTTGTTATTGTTGGAAGGTCTGTAGAATGATTCTGTAGGCTTGGTTTCCTGTAATGACTCTTAGCTCATCACCAAATAGATAGGCCAAGAGAGCTATTATTTCTCAGCAAGTGGTACTATTGAAATCAAGAACATGATGCCATTACTGTAATCACGGAATCAGGAATCCTTCACTACAGCTCCAGCAAAGCTAGAAACTAGATACTGGAACACTACAACAGAAAACCCCCACATCTCTACAATGGTGCTTTAAAAAGAAACATTCAAAGCAGAAGGAGAATAACCATAAAATGTTCACCTTTCAAGTCTTAAATAAGTGCATCTGATTGATGGAATCTAATTCGTGTCTAGAAGCATAACTGCAAGGGCATCTGAGCAATATAGTTTTAACTTTATATCTTGCATAGGCTGTAAACACTTTAAGATGGTGGAAATGGATGCTTAGTGCACATTGAGGTTAGGTATGAGCTAATTTTCCTTGGTCTAAAGCAGGGGATAGTATCACAGCAAAGCATCAGTGAGGCCAATAGTGCTTAAT